AGACTTTGTACACTTCTAACAATCTTCAAACTCTCATTTTGCCTTATTTACTAATTTGCCATTGTGCCTCCAGGCTTTAGAGAAGAGCTTGGACTCCCTGGCACTGACTAGTTTTGGGGTAATGGACACCACCTTAGAGGAGGTCTTTCTCAAAGTGTCTGAAGAGGACCAGTCTCTTGAAAACAGCGATGCTGGTGAGCACATGTTTCTTATATGTTCATATGTGTGTTTTGACTTCGTCAGTTGGCACATGGCTGACATGATTACCTTCTTCCCACTCCTATTATCTCTGAGCAGACATAAAGGGTTCGCCGGGGGGGAGCTCTGTAGGGAAATCATCAATCGGTTCAGAAGGTTTGGGGGGACCACAGGGTGAGACAGGATCCCAAGTGGAGCCTGAGAAGCCGACGGTGGAACTAAACAATCTGGTGAAGTGCTCCACACTAAGCCAGAGCCAGTCTTCTCTGATGTCCTCCTCATCTGTCGGCTCAGTGAGAGGCGATGAAGGAGGGCTGTATACCGACTTCTATGGAGATTACTGTCCACTCTTTGACGACAGACAGGGGGCTGACTCTGCTAGCCTCCAGGGTAAGACAACAACAGCAGCAGATGTACTCTTGTTTGATCGTTCTTTGCATATCCTTCATGAATCTATACACAAATGAAAAACATTTTTGTTTGTTTGTTTGTTTTTTGCTAGTTTATTTTTTTTAACTGTCTGTTTTAAACTTTACACTGACACCAAAATTAAACAAACAAATAACCAAAACAACAACAACAAAAAAGAACAAAAAAAACAACAACAACAACATAGCAGAACAAAACAAAACAGACAAAACAAAACAAAGAGACAGGCAACCCGGCTCATGAATACAAAGAAATAAGTGGAAAATCCAGACATTTTGATTATGAGATACGATTAACAACAGATATATGTAGAATAGCAGTGATCTGCTTGCATTATACCAAGGCAGTGAGAAAATAGCAGAAATATCCAAACCGACATACGCCATAAATGGGTCCCATATTTTATGAAACTTTTTGTCCCGACTATGTAGCTTGCATGTTAGGAAATCTAGTGACACATATTCCTATACCGTCCGATGCCATTGAGTCTGAGATGGGGCCGTGTCCGTGATCCAGTTCAAGAGGACACATTTCCTTGCACAGAAGGTTAACAGTGCATAGAGCTGCTTTCCAAACGTCCCCCTAATTTTGTCGTTTGCCACTCCCAGTAGCATACACAGTGGATTGCATTCAGTGTCAGTGGTGGTAGATCTTTGTTCTGTGTTCACTGAGATATTTGAATGCTAATCAATAAAACATATCATTCAAAAATTAAACAATTAAACAAAGATCTTATCCAGTTCACACTTTATGAGGAACCAGAATTGTTGTATTTTCCGGCAGGACCATAGACAGTGCGTGAGGTTGCCCACCTTATTTTACATTTAGGGCACAGCGGAGAAAGGTCTGAATTGTATTTATGGCGTTGAGAAGGTGATATGTGAGCGCTGTGTAGGATTTTAATTTGGATTTCCTTAACTTTATTACAGACGCTCAGAGATTCAGCATTCTCCCAAACTTTGTCCCTTACCTCGTCACTGATCTCTATATTTAATTCCTTTTCCCAAGTCCTCTTAAAATTGGTTGTGTCAGTGACCCCAAATTCTGTTAACAGGCCATAACAAATTTTTTTAGAAGTTCTAAGGTTTGGCTGAAATATCTGCTTTTCACATTTAGAGACAGTTTGATTAGTGAGTATTGTTGTAGCCCTCTGTATATGGTCCCTCACTTGTAAATATCTAAAGAAGTCATGCCTATGAATGTTGTATTTATAGATTAG